TCCTCCTCCTCCTCCTCCTCCTCCTCCTCATGGTCGCCCCTCTTATCCTCCATCTCATCCGCTGTTTTCTTCCTCTCCGGAGTGAGCCCCGAAGAGGTTTCACAACGGCGGGGGCGTGTCCTCAAAACTCCTGGAACTAGGCGCGCACCCCCTGGGTTTTGGGAAACGGTGGCGCGTGATCTGTTCGGCCCTAAGAGGGCCCCAAGACGTGCAAAGAGGGCCCCGGGAGCCATGCGGGGAGACGCGACGGGGCCGAAGAGGCCCCCAAGATCCGGCCAAGACGCTCCAAGAGGCTTCCAAGAGGCCTCCCAAGAGGGTCCCAGGATGGCAAAACCGTGAATTCCATGTGCTGTTTCAAAAACTGTTGGCCTTCTCGCCTTTTCAATGTTCCCACTCACCCCGACGGCCCCGGAGGCCCCAAGACCCCTCCAAGACGGCCCCCAAGAGAGCCCCAAGAAGACCCAAGAGGGCCCCAAGACGGACCAAGAGGGCTTCAAGACAGCTCAAGAAAGAGCCAAGGCGGCCCAAAAAAGGGCCCAAGAAAGATAACACGAACCGAAAAAACAAACTGACCTTCCGCCCCAAAAGGCCCCCAGGATGCCCCACGAGGCGCCCATAAGCCCCAAGCGGTCCCCCAAGAGGCCCCAAAAAGGCCCCCAAAAGGCCCCAATGAGGCCCAAAAGAAGCCCCATGAGGCCCCAAAACAGCCCCCAAGAGGCTTCCAAATCGTTGTCCGAAGGCCCTCGAGAGGCCTCCCACGAGCTCCCACGAACACCCAGTAGGCTCCATGCCCACAGCCGAGGCACGGCGGCGGGATGGGCCGAAGGCCATCAGATGATGACCAACGACTAGTTACGCCAGCGTCGACACGCAGTACCTTTTCACAACTACATCAGTATCGGAATCGCAAGGTGCGAACACCTCTACCACCTCATCAATTTCCCTCTCGGCAACGAAAGCCACTTTTTTCCGGCAGCAACGCATGCACTGATACGTGTGTTCGTGTTGCGTGGGAACGTGACCTGCATGGGCGACAAGGCATGGGATGATCTTGGAAAGCGATATCAAAGCCACTCGCGCGCTGGAACTCGAAGAACACCTCGAGCTGCGGGCGTTGCTCCAGGTAGCTCGCCAACCGCTGTAGTAGAAACCACTGATGCCAGGTCGGGGCCGTCTTGCCCCTCACAAGGTACACCACGGCATGCTGGATCTCGAAGCGGTCGTGGGCCATGCACAGCGCCGTCGGCGCCATGCTGCGATAGGTAGCCGCATACTCGGCGGTGAACTGGTCAGCTGACTCCCTGCAGTCCATCCCGATGGTCTTGGACGAGGGCGTGATCACGCGCGCCGCGACGCCCCCCTCGCCCACGCTCAAGTTGCGCATGGTGCCGACCAGGATCTCGACGTGTTCGCGGTCGCGCTGGACGCTGACGCCCTCGCTGCACCTGGCCACGGTCCTCTCGAGGAGACCCACTGACCCGACTCCTCCAGCAAGATGCAGAGCTCCTTCCCGAAGATCGGATTGTGGCCGTTCTCGGCGAAGGCGCCCGCGCTCACGATCGCGCGATCGACGTTCGTCACCTGGAACTCGGTCCGCAGCGGTCGCGCTCGACCGCCTCGCAGAGGGTCGCGGGGAGCGCGCCGCACTGCGCCGGGTCGTGCAGCACCCCGGCCTGCCAGCAGTAGCACTCCTCGAGCGCGCTCGGGACGCTCCGTGGCTCCTCGAACCTGTTGACGTTCACGATCTAGACCGTCGAGCTCGTCCACGCTGCCCCGCGACGCGGGCCCTGGTGCGCCAGGAGCGCTGCCGAGTGCGCCACGCCCACGGCCAGCGCAAGGCTCGACTGCGAATCCGAGCTCGCCCCCTGACGGTTGACAGCCGTCAGCTGCGACAGGCTCGACTGGCTCCTCTTGGGCCCTGTCGGAGCGGCGACCTTCCTGGACTGTCGACCTTCGCACGGCAATCCTCCGCCAAGTGGCCTGCCTTCCCGCGACAGTGACAGCCGCTGGTTTCGCGGCCCTTGCCCTTCGAGTCGCCCCTCTTACTACTGGACTACCCCTTGCTTTTTCCCGCGGGATCGCCCGTGCCGTTGCCTGTCTGGCCATGCTTGCCTTTGCCCTTGCCGATGGCGCCCACACGCGTGGGAACCACTGCGTCACCGCACGAATCGGGCGCTGCCCAGCGGCGCTGCGCTGAGCAGATCGTCCTGAGCTCCGCCTCCAACTCATCGGAGGTCGTCCGTCTCGTCCTGCGGCGTGACCACGTCCGCCGTCCGCGACGCTTGGTTGATCAGCTCCCTCCAGGCGGGGGTGGACCGCGAAGACGTAAGCCTTGAAGTCGAACGACCAAGTCTTCCACTCCGAATGCAAGCCGGCACAGGCGCGAGGCTTGCTCAGGAGGCGCGCGTCCACCATCTGCCAACTGAGAAGCTGACTCGCCGTCGGAACTGCACCAACTCCTGCGGCCGCTGCAGCGCCAGGGCCCCTGATCAGGATGCCCGCCGCCAGCCGCTGCTCCGTCGCTTCCAGCCTCTGCCGAAGGTTTGCGCTCTCGGCCAGGCCCCCCCTACGCCTCGTCACCTCGCCCTCCATGAGCCGCACGCGCTCGGCGAGCCGCTCTATATTCGCGGCTGCGTGACCGAGGGTTGCCAAAACAAGGAGGGCAACACCTCTGCGGCCACGCTCAGCTACCATCCGCGGAAACGCGCAAGCGTTCTCTGCCAATCTTGACTCGAGATGATATTTCCACCTCAGCGCGCTGGAGCCAGAATGGTTATGGGATGGATAAGCGAGTCCCGACTGGGACTGTCTCCCTGCATGCATGGTATACTCAGATACGAACTTCACACTTGCTGTTTGGATTATGGGGGGGAGCTTTGCTGTACTGCACTCAAACCTCCCTCTTCGTAGGCCCCTCCAAGAATCAAACCAGCCCGTTGGGCTAAGGTGGTCTAACGAGTTCATTCTTTCCTCTCTCAAAAACCTCTTCCTTTCAGGGAGGTCTACCCCCCCCCTCCCTGAGGTTTTTGGGGGGACACGATCGGTCAGAGCGCCCAAGATAGCCCAAGATGGCTCCAAGAGGCCCCAATGTTCCAAGACGGCCTTCAAAATGGCTCAAAATGGCCGACAATGGTTGAAGATAGCTTCCGACATTCCTCCTAGACGCCGACGAGGACCACAAGACGGTTCAAAGTGCTCTCGGAACCCCCATCTGGCCCCCCCCCCAAAGCCAAAATCCTTCAGAAGCTACAGAAAACCAGTGATGATTGCCTTCCCGCCGTCTGGCTTCTGCTGCGCTTCAAGTGGCCCGTGAGAGGCCCAGACTGCCCCAAGAGCGCCTAAGATCGGCCCAAGAGGGCTCCAAGAGCGCCCCAAGAGGCGAGTGTGATGGCCCCAAAGGGGGGTGGGGGGGGGGGGGCAAGATCGAGGACACCCTTTTCTATCGATTGCTTCCAGGATGGCCCCAGGAGGCCCTCCAAGGCCCCAAAAGGCCCCAAGAGAGCCCCAAGAGGGCCCCAAGACAACCCCAAAAGAGCCCCAAGAGGACCCCAAGATCCCTCAAAAGAGTCCCAAGAGGGCGCGAAGAGGCGATTTTGGGGGCTCCGTCCTCGTCCTCGTTGTTCTTCTCCTTATGCTCCTCGTCCTCGCCTTCACCGTCTTGCTTTTCCTTTTGCTCCTCTTGCTCGTCGTCGTGGTCGTCGTCGTGGTCGTCGCCGTGGTCGTCGTCGTCGTCGTCGTGGTGGTCGTGGTCGTGGTCGTCGTCGTCGTCGTCATCGTCGTCGTCGTCGTCGTCGCCGCCGTCGTCGTCGTCGTCGTGTTTCTCCTCCTTCTCCTCCTCCTCCTCCTCCTCCTCCTCCTGCACCTCCTCCTCCTCATCATCCTCCTGCTCCTCCTCTTTCTCCTCCTTCCCCTCCTCCTCCTCCTCCTCCTCCTCCTTCCATCGCCCCCACGCGGGCCCCGGGGATGGCCCGAAGAGGCCATCCAATGCCACCCCCTTCTCTCAAAGCTTCTCTGTTGACCCTGGTTGCCCGCTTTGTTTCACTGTATGTGTAGATTCGTCCCGTGTCCCATCAGCTCTCATGGGTAGAGTTTCCGAATGGGCTGGCGGGGATGGGCGAAGCGTGGAGAATGGATTAAAACTGCGGGCAGTGGCCCAGAAGACAACCGTCTGAGAATCCCGACTCGTGCCAAAATACCGCTCCTGTGAAATCAACTCCGCGAATGAATGTCACTGCTGCGTCCTGACAATCCTAACCCGTGCCAGAACACCGTTCCTGGGACTTCAAGCCCTCGAATCAACGTGAATGCTGCGCCCTGGCAACCCACAACCATTCCTGGGGGTTCAACCATACGAGTCCTTGAAGCTGATACAAACTCTTAAAACGAATACGGGCAGCGTTAGGGCGAGAGCCACATGTTGAAAACCACCTGTTCTCCCCGCAACGGCTGCAAACTGTTAAGACGGATGTGCGCAGGGCTCGGGCGAGAGCCACATTTTGAAAACCGCCCGCCCTCCATCCGTGAAACGGCTGCACACTGGTAACACGCATGCGCGCCGCGCTAAGGCGAGAGCCACATGTTGAAAACCACCTGTCCCCCGTACTTTGACCAGCCGCAAACATTAAAAGCGAATGTGCGCGGCATCAAGGAGGCGAGAGCTACATTTTAAGCTGAGATCACCCGCGCCCCCCAATCCGAGAAGCTGAAGCATGTTTCCAGGCTTCAGAACCATGAGTGGCGAGAAGACTCAAGCGCAACTCCCAGCCCACCCTACCAACACGTCTGGGAGTGCGACAGGAAGGAATTGCCCATGAGAAAAGGAAATGGATGAGGAGGAGACGAGAGACAGAGAGAGAGAGAGAAAGAAGAGGAGAATGAGGAGGAGGATGGGGAGGAGGGGGAGGAAGGAGGAAGGAAGGAGTGGAGCCCACAGTGCTCAAAACCAAAACGAGAACCCATCCAGAGCAGAGGGACGGTTCGGAGGGGGGGGGGGGGGGGGGGGGGCAAAACAACAAAACGATCCGCGCTCCCGAGGCCACGATCCAACGTGAAGGACGGTGGGCCCGTGCGCCCGAGCTTCCAAGACGGCGGAGGCAAGCAACCACGGCCGCCAGGATGACCCAAAGTGCCTCCAAGACGGCCCAACAGGGCCCACAGGCGCACAAGGTGGCCTCTACACGGCCCAACGAGGCCCCTAAGATGACCCACAGGAAGGCCCGAAAGAGTTCAACAGCATAGACCTCCCGTTGGTTCTTCGAAGTGTCGGGCGGCTTCGCCTTCGAGGGGCCTCCTGCATCACCAGACGCCCATAGAGGTCTCCAACATGACCCCATCGACGGCCCAAGAGGACCGCCTCGACGGCACGACAATCCTTCAAGGGCGACCCCAAGACAGCCCAAGAGGGGCCCCAGACGCCTCAGGGCGTCCACGGGAGAGACCCAAGCTGGCCCAAGAGAGCCTCCGAAGAGACACAAACAAGCGTTGGAGCCGAGGGCCGCCCCGAAGACGGCCCAAAGACGGCCTCACCGCGGCCGCAAGAGATCCCAAGACGACCAAGAGTGCCCCAAGACGGCCCAAATATGGCCCACAATCAGCCCAAAGAGGCGCAAGTCACCCCCAAGACTGCGCAACAGGGGCGCATGAGAGGACGGAAGAATGGGAGGAAGACCCAGAAGACGAGAAAGAAATCTCCGACACGACGCGGAAGAGTGTGTCCCATGCTACGGCTCCCCTACGCCTCGGGACACAAAGTGTCACGCGTTACGGCCCCCTTTATGCGACCCTCGAAGAGTCGCCACCCAAGGCACTGGGCTGGCACAGTCGCGAAGATTGCCGCGGGCAGCTGGATACTCGCTGTGCCTCGCCATCCTCCTCCTGCCCCTTCTCCTCCTCCTCCTCCTCCTCCTCCTCCGCCTCCTCCTCCTCCTCCGCCTCGTCCTCCTCCTCATCATCATCAGCAGCATCAGCATCAGCATCAACATCATCAGCAGCAGCATCATCATCAGCATCAGCATCAGCATCAGCATCAGCATCATCATCATCATCAGCAGCATCATCATCATCATCATCATCATCATCATCATCATCATCATCATCATCATCACCATCATCATCATCATCATCATCATCATCATCATCATCAGCATCATCATCATCAGCAGCATCATCATCATCAGCAGCATCAGCATCAACATCAGCATCATCACCATCATCATCAGCATCATCATCGTCATCATCAGCAGCATCATCATCATCATCAACAAAATAATCAATATCATTATCAGCAGCCGCATCATCAGCATCATCATCCGCATCAGCATCAACATCAGCATCATCAGCATCCTCATCATCATCATCAGCATCATCATCATCCGCATCCGCATCATCATCATCATCATCATCATCATCATCATCATCATCATCGTCATCACCATCACCATCACCATCATCAGCATCATAGTATTTCTCATGCTCCTCCTCCTCATCATCATCGTAATCGTCGTGATGATGAGCATCAGCATCATCATCATCATCATCAGCAGCAGCAGCAGCAACATCATCATAAACATCAGCAGCATCGTCGTCAGAATCATCATAACCACCGTCATCAACATCGTCATCAGCATGATAATCATTATCAGCATCATCATCACCATCAGCAGCATCAGCATCATCATCGTCATCTCCATCATCTTCATCGTCATCAGCATCGGCATCAGCATCAGCATCATCATCAACATACTCATCATATCATCGTCATCATCACCACCATCATCAGCATCTTCGTTATCATCATCACTATCACCATCATCATCATCATCATCATCATCAGCAGCAGCAGCAGCAGCATCACCATCATCGCTATCGTAATCATCATAGTCGTTGTCGTCGTGCTCGTGGTCTTCGTCGTCATCGTCGGCGTCGGCCGCCTCCTCCGCCCTCTGTCGCGACCTGCTCCTACTACTCCTCTTGCTAAATCCTCGTCCTCCTTTTATTCGACGTCTTGTTACCCTGCTCAGCCTAATCCTCATCGTTTGTGT